GAGAAGGGACAGAGCGGTGTGGAATAAAGGTAAATTATGTGAAAAATCATGCGTTTTTTTAAAAACGAAGCATTAACACATGTTAGACTGCACCCCATAAACACAATCAAGCCTAGAGAAAAACCAGTGAACCACCCCTTTAACAGTTTTTTTTTTTTTGCAATGTATTTTTCTGTAATTGTGATCACAGGTGAAAACTGCATCAGAGGGGGAGGACTTTTCTGCTCCCTCATATACTGCAGGGACAACTTTGCAAGTATATGCAAAAGATCTCCAGAAATTCCTTGACTCCTGCCCACAGCTGAAAGGAAAAATGGACAGTATGTCTATTAAATATAAATTTAGAACATGATTTGTTTGTTTGTTTGTTTGTGTATGTGTGTGTGTGTGTGTGTGTGTGTGTGTTTTACTGTTCTTTGTATTTTGGATAAGTGGTTGCAAATTTGTTTTTTCTGCATTCTGTTCAAAGATTTGTTAAAATTTTGTTAAATAATATAAATATTTATTTGTTAACTTAACATTTAACTATGTAATACAGTTCATTGTTAATAACTTTAAAACATATCTATTGTATCATAACTAAAATTGTTTAATGTAACACTGTGACTACACGTAACAAGAGGGTAACAAGGGATCACTAAATTACAGCCCGCGGATGTTACACTTACACAGTAACTACACGGAACAAGAGGGTATCAAGGGATCACTTTAAATTACAGCCCGCGAATGTTACATTTACACAGTAACTACACGTAACAAGAGGGTAACAAGGGATCACTTTAAATTAGTGAAAGTGAAAGTGACGTGACATGTGGCCAAGACATGGTGACCCATACTTGGAATTAGTGCTCTGCATTTAACCCATCCAAAGTGCACACACACAGCAGTGAACACACACACACCGTGAACACACACCCGGAGCAGTGGGCAGCCATTTCTGCTGCGGCGCCCGGGAAGCAGTTGGGGGTTCGGTGCCTTGCTCAAGGGCACCTCAGTCGTGGTATTGAAGGTGGGAGAGAGCGCTGTACATTCACTCACCCCTCCTACAATCCCTGCCGGTACGAGACTCGAAACCTCAATCTTTGGGTTACAAGTCCGACTCTCTAACCATTAGGCCATGACTTCCCCGTGTTCAACAGCCTGGCAGCCTTTTACAAAAATTAACCATGGTTTTATTACAGTAACCACAGTTTACCACAGTATTTGTACTAAAACTGCAGTAACCACACATTTACCATGGCAATAATAATAATACATTTTAGTACTTATTTAACACCATGTTTATTTTTCATGAGGTATCCTCAAAAGTGCACCTTTGTAACGTATCTACCCTTAAAGCATGCATACTTGTATGGTACTAATATGCTCACTTTTAGGGGTATAGTTGCACCTTTGAGGTTACTGCCCCA